CTAGCACGACCTCGACCAGCTCGACGTCGAGCACGTCGTCCAGCTCGAGCACGTCCAGTACGTCCAGTACGTCAAGCACATCGAGCACGTCTAGCACGACGTCGACCAGCTCCACGAGCTCGACCTCGAGCACGTCTAGCACGTCCAGTACGTCTAGCACGACCTCGACCAGCTCGACGTCGAGCACGTCGTCCAGCTCGAGCACGTCCAGTACGTCCAGTACGTCAAGCACATCGAGCACGTCTAGCACGACGTCAACCAGCTCCACGAGCTCGACCTCGAGCACGACGTCGACCAGCTCCACGAGCTCGACCTCGAGCACGACGTCGACCAGCTCCACGAGCTCGACCTCGAGCACGTCTAGCACGTCCAGTACGTCGAGCACGACCTCGACCAGCTCGACGTCGAGCACGTCGTCTAGCTCGAGCACGTCCAGTACGTCCAGTACGTCAAGCACATCGAGCACGTCTAGCACGACGTCGACCAGCTCCACGAGCTCGACCTCGAGCACGACGTCGACCAGCTCCACGAGCTCGACCTCGAGCACGTCTAGCACGTCCAGTACGTCTAGCACGACCTCGACCAGCTCGACGTCGAGCACGTCGTCCAGCTCGAGCACGTCCAGTACGTCCAGTACGTCAAGCACATCGAGCACGTCTAGCACGACGTCGACCAGCTCCACGAGCTCGACCTCGAGCACGACGTCGACCAGCTCCACGAGCTCGACCTCGAGCACGTCTAGCACGTCCAGTACGTCTAGCACGACCTCGACCAGCTCGACGTCGAGCACGTCGTCCAGCTCGAGCACGTCCAGTACGTCCAGTACGTCAAGCACATCGAGCACGTCTAGCACGACGTCGACCAGCTCCACGAGCTCGACCTCGAGCACGTCTAGCACGTCCAGTACGTCTAGCACGACCTCGACCAGCTCGACGTCGAGCACGTCGTCCAGCTCGAGCACGTCCAGTACGTCCAGTACGTCAAGCACATCGAGCACGTCTAGCACGACGTCAACCAGCTCCACGAGCTCGACCTCGAGCGTGG